TGACACAGAAAACCAAAACGGTGGAAAGACTGTCTGGAATAGAGGAGGGAAGCCTGTCTGTTTAGGTTGGTTTGGTGTTGAATCCATAAGAACTACCTGGTTAGATTAACACGCCAGGCCCTTTTCATACAATCACTAACTTCCTTTGTTGAAAGAATGGAACTTAAAGACTCAACTTTACTCATAAAACATTATTGTTCAAATTAAATTTAGTTCTCTCCGTCCTTTAACTCCGCACAGTTTTAAGTCTGAGTTGACCTGTTGGCTAGAGTATCATGACCTCTAAATGCCTTTCAGGATTATGCACCGTAGTGTAGTCTTAAGCTGGTTATTTCTATAAAATGAAACGATTTAAAAAGTGTTTGTGTACTTGCAGTACAGGAGCACGTCATCAGGAGTAGTTAGTTTGGATCAGCAGCAGTATTTTTCTCAGTTCATGAAGGGTGCCAATGCAAAAGCATAGTTGTACTGTTGTTACAGTTCATTTTTCTTTGTAACAAGTTATAAATATTAATGTGTTTTCTCTCTTAACAATTACAAAATGTTCTACTGTGCCACTTCAAAAAGCAGAACCAAAAGAAAACAAAGCTCTCTGCTTTTTGGGAGCTTATTAAATGATGGTGAGGTTGGAGAAAAAACTCGTAGTTACACTATTCCTCGCCTACACCGTTGTCAACAGAATGTAAATTTCTCTAACACAGAAAACCATTGCCTAAAGTCCAAATCCAGTTACTTGCAGCTTTCCAGTATTACACTTGACCCTGTGAAATATTCAGAAATGTATTGGTTGACACTTCTTTTCTCAACTACACATACAATCTATCCATCAAAATGTAGGAACTTTTGTGTCTGTTTTCAATTAAAATTCATACAATCATTGTACTACGCAGGGCTTTCTGTACAATCCCTACAGATCAAAGAAAATGTACATACAACTTACCATACACTTCCACTGTAATACTCCTCCCAAACCTCTGTCCAAACAGCAGGTCAACAGTGCATTAAACCCCCTTATATCTCCTTCAAAAATCATTAACAAAAGGCATTCTGGCCACTTGTGTGTCAAGAATTTCTTTGAGTTTTAGTACAGATCCTTGTCTTTTTCCGTTTGCCTCGAAAGAAAAGCGAGAGCTGTGGCTTTCCCCTCTCATGTTTACCTGGGAAAAGTGGAAATCACCGTAGTAACTAGCAACTCAGCAATTCAGCAATTTATTGGTGTCTGGATCTTGGATTTAATTTGGGTTACCCTACGCAGGGACAATAAATTCTATTTCTATTCTATTTAATTCTGTTGTGGCTGCTCCTTAGGTCTCTAATTAAAATGAAAGTTAAATTAAGTTAGATGATTTATAGAATTCAACATTTCCAGGTTAAACAAAAGGTTTTACCTTAAACTCTCAGAATAAAAATCACAGGCATTCTTTCAAATAAAAGTTGAGCTGTAAGGCTTCGGTTATTACAGGAGGAGCATTTCAAAGTCCTAATGGGCTTGAAAGAACAAGGCTGATTCATGATCAGGTTTTGGTACAATTTCACAACCATTTGAAGGTTTTCTAGGTACTATGTTGGCCTTGTCTCATAAATCCACCTGCTTAAATATATAAGCTGCTAATTATCCAGTTGTCTCCGGTCTTTAGTTTCTTAGTCGTCTCATTCTTAATTACATACACTAAAACCTTTGTTTCCGACCCTATGTGGTAACTCAAACAGGGATGTGAACAATCACCTGTTGCACCTCATTTCTTCATTGTAAACATTGCATTATTTGCAAATAATTTGTCTGCGTGACTTCTAATTATCTCTGGATTTTCCTCAGGCCGCCTAAAGAAGGAGCAGGCTCTGTCCAGGATATCTGATGAGAGTCTGGACAAAATCCCTGAAGAAGAAGAAGAGAGCCCCGTCTTCAAGGAGCTGCCTGGGGCAAAAGGCACAGACGAGGCCGTGGTGCCGCTCACAGGGGGCAGCAGTGACAGGAGCACCCGGGACTCCAGCGGAGAGCTCTCCAACATGGCCAATGGAGGCACCGTCCTGCCCAACGGCAGGGTGTACGGTAAGAAGGTGTTCCTGTAGAAAACGCTTTCTGAGATGCCTGGCCTTCTGTGTGTTTTATGGGGGATATTATGTGGCAGACAAAGAAACACATAAGAATAACTATGTTTATTCTTACTGTAGTGACTAATTGTGTTGCATGGATATGTATTTAGCCTCTCTTACTTGAATACCCCTAAATAAATAAAATAAAATGCAGCCTGTTGCCTTCATAAGTTGCCTACATTGTAAAAAGAGTCCAAACGTGTGTAATTTAACCTTAGTATAAATCCAGCTGTTCTGCAAAGGCCCCAGAGGTCTGTTAGAGAACATGTGTGAACAACCAGCGGCAGATTAGACAGGTTTGGCTCTAAAACAAAATCCATATCTTCCTGCTGCAAACCTACCAAGATATTGCTGTCCACAGGTCAGCAAGGAGAGGATCAAGCCAAGAAATAGTGAAGAAGTCCACCGTTCATATGGAAGACTGTTCGCTGGAGAAGTTAAATGAAGTTTATTTGTACAGCATGTTCCACCATCAAGGCAGTTCAAAGTGCTTTACACCATAAAAACATGGGTAACACTTTATTTGAAGGGGTGTGCATAAGACTGACATCACACTGTCATAAACATGACATAACACCTGTCATGAACATAAAGAAGTCTTTATGAATGTTAGACTGTTGTCATGAAGTGTCATTCGGTAAATAATGACACTTTTAATGCAAAGTTGCTCTAAAAGTTGCATTGAAATTCCATTAAAAATGCCAACTTTGCATGATTTTGTAAATTATGATTTAATGCAAAGTTGGCATTTTTAATGGACTTTTTTAGTGCAACTTTTAGAGCAACTTTGCATTAAAAGTGTCATTATTTACCGAATGACACTTCATGACAACAGTCTAACATTCATAAAGACTTCTTTATGTTCATGACAGGTGTTATGTCATGTTTATGACAGAGTTATGTCAGTCTTATGCACACCCCTTCAAATAAAGTGCTACCAAAACATGATAAAGTAACCAATTATGAAACGGCAATAAACATTACGTTTTGTCAAATGTCATCATCAAAATCATCAAGCAAATGTCCGTCAAATATGTTGACCAATGTGCCAGTTATTATAAATCAAGGGCAACTCTGAGGGTTTTTTATTCTTGATTTAAATGAACTGTTTCAGTGACTTGAAGTGGAATAGAACTTGAATGTGCAGCCAGGGAGATGATCGACATATTTAGATGAAAGCATATTTATGTAAGAGTGGTTGGTCCAGTTAATGCCCTTGGCCTGAATCCAAATTTATAGTATGTGTCTCAAACCATTCAGATTTCAAACTGAATAGCGAAAACTAAAATAAAACTGACTGCGGAAAGGGCTTTGCATGTTCTTCCTAATGCCCTCCTTGTTTCCACCTTTAAGGTCGAACCCACTCCATGACCAACGGCTGCCTCAAGTCGCCCATCGCTAACGGCAGCTTCACCTTCGACGGCCACATGCGTAGCGACGGCCAGGTTTACCACACGGTTCACAAGGACTCCGGCCTCTACAAAGACTTGCTCCACAAAATCCACCTGGGCCGCATGGACGATGGAGACCGGTCCGGCGCGTCACAGCCTGACAACAATTACCGTCTGCTGCGCCGCAACAACAGCTACACCTGCTACACGGCTGCGATATGCGGCATGCCCGTCCAGCCTGTCAGGCGCTCTGAGTCCCGCGACGACAGCGAGAAGCTGGTGGGAGAGGGCGGCGCCAGGAGCAACAGCGTGTCCTACTCCAAAAAGCGGATGCGTTACGACAGCTACTCATCGTACTGCAACGCTGTGGCCGAGGCTGAGATCGAAGCAGAGGAAGGGGGAGTGGAGCTGAAGCTGGCCACGGAGCTGGAGGGTGTGGAGGAAGAAGGAGCTCCAGCGCCGGTGCCTCTTGATGACTTGGTAGAGGAAGAGCATGAGGAGAAGGACAAGTCCGAGGTGTTTCTGCTTTTCCACTTCCTGCAGATCCTCACCGCCTGCTTTGGCTCTTTCGCCCATGGAGGCAATGATGTCAGGTGAGAAGAGTTGGATAGTAACTAATAATATTCACTCATTTACATTTACTTGAAAAACTTTTTTTTTGGGGGGGGGGGGGGAAAATTAATCTTTTCGGAGTACTTTTACTTCCACAGAGGAAAAATTTATTCTATAGAGAAACACAATTTCTAGCCCTGGGAATCCTGAATCGTTTCAAAGTGTTCAAAAACCAATTTTAAATCGAATGAAGAACAAACATGTTTTCACCAAAAACTCACCAGATATGGACACACGCCTGCATGTTTTATAAGTTTCATATTGAAAGAAATTGATTTAGAAAAATGGTTATTTTGCATGTTTTCATTTTGTAATTGTCATTTATATGAATTTTCATTTTGATGTTTATAAACATTTCCACATAACTTTATAATTTGATCTGTCTGATGTCATTTTTATATTTACAACAGTTACTCAGTACTTGAATAGCCGTTTTATCTAATGCTTTTTTGCTGTTGAATAGTTTCTTGCACAGCTACTTTTTACTTTTAAAAACAAGTAAACTTATGTTGAAGTAGTGCTTCTCTTAATTGTGCGCAATTTTTGGTAATCACTTTAACTCAGGTTGGCACTTTCAATCAGAGACACCAGATAAGCTGAAGGCATTATTTTCTCATATTTGCAGTAATGCCATCGGGCCCCTGGTGGCGCTGTGGATGATTTATGAACAGGGCGGAGTCATGCAGGACGCTGCCACTCCGATCTGGCTGCTGTTTTACGGCGGTGTGGGCATCTGTACCGGCCTGTGGGTGTGGGGACGGCGTGTCATCCAGACCATGGGGAAGGACCTGACTCCCATCACCCCTTCAAGGTGAGAGAGTCTCCTTATAGGACACACGGTGCGAAGGCGCCTGCTCGTACGCGGCTGGGTGGTTGTTCATGTGATAAAGATTGAATTTCCTACTTGATTGGGTTGGCTTGCCCCAAAGAGGCTGACACAAACAGGTTCATCCAATTCTGCAGACTTCTGTGGTGAGTAAACACACACAGCTTTAATAGGACCCAGCACTCAGGGTCATGAAGAATGTTTAGAGTAATTGATCACTTAGAGGGTAGTTAATAATCCACAACAGCCAGACAAAAGAAAACACAAACACATGGAAACAGTCACTTCCATTGTGCGGTTGTAAACGCCTCATGGGCTACCTGTGACTCATTATGTTTAAACTGAGCATGCTCCAATTCACACAAACACTCCTGTTACTGACTAAAGTTACTATGCCAGCTGCTCAAATAATATTTATAGTCATTGTTGCTTCATATAGATCTGAACCAATTTATCTGCTGTACTTTGCAAAATTTTCAAACCACTTTTAACATCTTAGCATTTTAGATCTGTTAGTGTTAAATTGTATCCAATAAGTTTGCATTCAGAAGCCTAAAAGAATAAGACGGAGATCCTCGGTGTGCTTTTAATTTAATAACATTTTGAAATTGGTTTGAATGATCCAGAGAACAGGTCAAATTGCATCAATAAAGAACTTATGCAGATGTATAAATAAAGAGTCCAAGACTCTGTCAAGCAGATTCTTATTAATTGTTGGAATCCTCCTAAAAATCAACTTTTTTTAAGCGGTGCAGTATATGTTCTGTTTCTAGTAATGCATGTGGATAATTGGGTCGTTTTTCAGACCACAGCAAATGAACCCCTGCAGCTCACTGTCCAACAACTCACGCGGCCGCAGCAGCAGTCGGAGCTCATCGTTAATCGTTCCCTGCTCTTCACTCCTCTTTCCTTCCATCTCTCTGTCTCCTGCTGTCTCCTAAGTCTTCCCACGCATTATCTAAAGAATGTGTGCACGCAAACCTCAGCAATGTCTGTTTGTTAAGAAAAAACAAACAAAAAAAAACAGCACTTTGCCTGCGGGTTGCACGAACTGTGTTGAATGTGCTGTATGTGCGCTTCTATACATGCCTGCTTATTTAGGCCTAATTGCTCCAGCAAGCTCCTATGAGGTTGTGTGCGCGCGCAAGTTGTTTTTGCCTGGCAGGAGCATCACAGAGGGTTACAGGAAGTTGTTTGGCATTCCGGATGAAGCGGAGTAGGATGAGGGAGTGAGGGAACAAACCACAGTGGGAACTTCTCCTCTCAAACCACAGGGAGGGACGACAGCCTGGCGACTCCTCTTGCACTTTTCCTTTTTTTTTTCTCCCTCTTTCCCCTTTCTTTGTCGTTTCTTTTTCTACCCTTTAGTAAATATCTGTTGATCTCTTCATCCTTTGATCTTTTATTCATCTTTCTCCTTTAAATCTGTCTCCCTGTCCCCCTCACTCCCTCAGTCCTTCCCACGCTCATGCTATCTCATTATGTTCCCTCTTTCTTTATTTCTCCACCTTTCTGTTTGCTCCTTTCTCTTTGTGTGTGTGTACCCTCTTTTTTTCCACTTCCATCCCCGCACTGACTGGGCTGCCAGTATCCTAAGACAAATTTGCTCTGGTTCACAGTTCAAAAGCCTCGCTTTTCTCCAGAGTCCGTTTTCATGAATCAGCCTGACAAAGAAATTTGTTTTGGGGCAAAAACAGAACATTGTGTGTGTTTGTGTAGTCTACAATACATGCCCTGGCATACATTTAAGCAGCCCCACTAATCCCCGGCGCAGTGAGGTATTTTCAAACCTGGAGTACGGATTTTCGCCATTCCCCTCGAGCCTCGGCCTGATCAGATTGGTGCAGATGTTGCTTGTGCTGTTTGAGTTTTCAGCAGTTTGAAGCAACCAGGTCTTCATACAGCCAGATCAGTCGGTCAGTTCAACCTCAAGTTAGAGAATCGTATTTGCCAATCTCAGTAGTCAAGCTTA